TACACGCTAAACTGTTCGTCATTGGTAAGCGATCTCCTTTGTAAAGTGTTTTGAGGTTGAATAAGGAAAATGGCTCTGGAATAACACACGGCAAGCAATCTGCTTACAGTCATAGGTTAATTCTCTCAACTGCTTTTGCTGGGTCAATCCTTAGGTATTATGATATATGCCAGGCAATTCACCGGTTTCCTGAGGAAGTCTGGCCATGGAAGAGATTCCAAACTCCACACCCCTTTCTCATCCTATTCAACTCGGGAGTCTGGCTTCCACTGCAAGCACATTTTTAGATGAATGAGGTTGAGACCTATGCTGAGCAGCTGCACTGCTCTCACCATGTCAAACTGTTCATACAGTTGAAAAATAACAGCTTGGATCAAGCTACCTGGGACCATAACTTTTCTCCAACTGGCTGATAAAACATGCGCCTCTCCATTGAGCTTTTGGAACTGCTGGTACCCATGATTTCTCTTTCTCCTTGATGGCTGTGCTGGTGGGAAGACATCAGATTGAAATGCGTGTTTAGGAGTCAAGAAACATCCTGTGCCAAACCGCATGTTTCAGAACCTGATCTGTCCACTTGGGTAGGTTTGATCCTTTATTAAAAGCACCGGGTGCTTTGTCATCAGTTTCAGTGGGTGCAGGATCAGTTAGGTAAATCCTCGTCTCTCGACCTTCTTGAAGGCCGCTCTGTGCTATTTTACAGACCTATCACCACGGGGGCTGCGCGTTACTGTCGTATCACTGACCACCGGGACCAGGCGAGACCCCAAGCTTTCAAAGGGCAGCACCGAGAGTGAAAAAATTATCTCAGCCTCTAAGATCCTACATTGTGGGGGAGGTTGTGCTACGCCTTTTAATTCTCCTTTTCAGCAACTTTAATGAAGAGTGTTACTTAACTTTTCAGGCTACAACTGAATCTTTGGTCTGAAAGCTGCAATATTATGTGTTACAGTTGCTACCGGAAAAAGGAAACCTCTTACGTATCTTTTGACGTCCTTTGCAAAATACTCTGGGTTTTTTGAATGGCGTGCTCCCTATTATTTCCATGCTATTACTTATAAACTTCACAGCATTTTCTAGAGGGGTCTTCTGTAAGATGAAAACCTCAGGGCAACACTCCATTAGGCTTTTATTTTTATAGGTTGGGTTAAACCTTCTTGAAACTGGTAGGTTTAACTGCGTTCCTTTATTTAGGGTAGCTGAAGGAGACATTAAGTCTATTTCCACCCACAATGCAGGATTGCTGCAGTACCTGAAGGCTCTGGGAGGACAGTTTCGGGTAGGATATTAAAAGGAAAGAAGGGTATGTGTGGATGGACAATACAGCTCAGGTGGAGGAGGAGAGAGAAAGACAGCATATTGAAACAGGCAGGGAACGGAAGCTTCAAACAGCCTGAACAATCATTGATATAAAACCTGGACTGAATACAAGAAACAGGGATTTGGGGTCACGTTGCTGCCTGGAGCAGGCCTGGAGCTATAGGCAAGGAAACTGGCCCTCAGCTGTGTGATTTCTTCTGCCTTCAGGGAAGGAGGGCTGTGAGCACCCTTGTCAGCAAAGAGAAATACATCAGGAATACCTTTCTTCATTGCTCCTCCTGCGATTTTGGCCTGGACCCTGGATTTTGGCCAGCACTACGGGTCAAAGGGAGGAAACGTGTACTGCAAAACCTCCCGCACTTCTCTACCATTTAACTCTTCCGGCTTGGGTCAGGATTAAGATGGCATGAAGACAACAGCACTGTTCCTCTCTCACTCTACCAGAGCGAGCAGTTCAGGCCAAGAGTTAGGTCGCTGCTGTCCCTACTTGCATTGGAGATGTATCCTTGTCATGCACTTCCATTCTTACCCTAACAACCCAAATTTCCCCAGATCTTGCTATAAGCAGTTTGAGCAACTCGATGTGCTCTTCAGCTCTGCAGGGAACTCTTTAAAACGCGGCACCCGCCATTGGCTTTTTTTTTTTCCCGTAGGTGAAGTAATCTGCCTTGCATGAGTAATCCTACTTAAAACAATAGGTTGCCCTGCAAGAATGAGGGAAGCAAGTTTGAAGTATGCTTTTATGCAAGTAATGCAAAAAGGCCACATAGTAGTTCATCAGGGGACACTTCAGCAATAAAAAGACAGTTACCGGTAAAGTCCAATAATAAAATAAAGGTAATTTAATATGAGAATTTTTAACCCACTTAACAGGGACTAAATTTGGAACCCTTCCTTCAAGTGATCAGGCACACTATACTTTCCTAATCCTACTTTTTGTTCATAAGTGAAAAACAGGCAGTAATCTATTCCTTCTGCTTTTATTTTTATGGTAGGGGAGGGTACTATTCAATGTAAATAAATTAATATAAGTAAAATAGAGGCTGAAGCTAGATGTGTAGACCAGCCTCTGAGTAAGATGCATGACAGAGCACCAGATCTCTTGAGACCACAGAGGTCCCATGCCTCAACTCACTTAATACCAGGCAACACAAACCCTACAGATTATAATGCAAGAATCCTGCAGGGGCAGGAGGAAGGCACGTGGAATCAGACTCTGCGACCTAAGAGAAATAAAGGCTGTGGAGATTAGTAGTTCAGTGTTTATGCAGGAGCCCTGTGGGCCCGCTTCAGCATCCTTATTTTGGTCTTCATCATCTCTGATCTGTTCTAACAATCCTCTGTGGGATGGAGATTTAATATCTAGGAAAGCTGGGGTCCTGGCTGGCCCATCAGAAGCAGCGGCGGATGGCTGCTCCCTGTTTAACTGCTGTATCACTTTGCTTTCCAGATTCAGCACAATAAACCACAACAAAACCTGACACTATTTTATGAACCCGAGTGATACGATTCAAAACCTCTAGAGGTCAGGCTGATGGAGAGCATCTTCCCAGCGGCTGCATTCTGCTGAGTGCGAGTGACACCTGCTGGAGTCCTCTCCCCAAAAAAGCCACCCCTCCCCCCCCCCCGGCCAGCCCTGCAGGTGTCTTATCAGCCCAGGGTGGTTCTTCTGGGGGCCTGCGTGCACCAAATCCCCCAGAAAGGCAAGTGGGCAACATGAAATAAATCTGGGTGGCTCTTTCTTATTGCAGGAAGGCAAAAGCAGTCTTCACCAGCACATCCTCATACCTCTCCTGCCACTCTGGTCATGCCCGTTTACTTCTCCCATATACTGACACCCAGCCTCTCCTTTTGCCTTTGACATCCTTGCAGAGGAGCTGTAGTAAACCGCAGCACATTCCCACAGGGAAAAGTCCTGAGTGGGCACTGAAATGGGACCACATTATCCATCCATCACCTAATCCCTGTGAAAAAGAGTCCTAACATTCCTCCTCTCGCCTTGAAGCCACCTAAGAAGACTTCAGGAGAGGGCAGGTGACCCCTGGAAGAGGTCTGAGAAGCCCTCACTTCTCACATTACAATAGATGATAACGAATTTAAATGCATATTGCAATATATACGATCTCTGAATACACATTTGCAGTGTTAGAGACGTGACTTCTTCAGAGCACGCTGGGAGAGGTTTATCTGTGGGACGACAGCAGCCCCCAAAAGGCTGCCGATGAAGACTTGTGACGACGCTGATGAAGGCTTGTGAATTTTTCTGTCTCTAATTTTCTCGAAATCTTTAGCACTGGCACTCAACACCCCACAGCGTATGGCATCTGGCCTGCCCTGGGGCATTCATGGGGACGTTGCAGTTGTCCGGCATCACTGGGCTGGCATCCCCTGCAGAGGGGCCCGGCCGCTGAGGAGACCTGCTGGAGGGGGACAAGGAGGGAAAACCCCTCAGGGTGCCCCCAGCCCCCTGATGGGGCCCCACAGGCACAGGCCTCAATGCAGCGACTGGGGCAACTGAGGCAGCGTGCGCAGCCCCCCTTGGGGAACAGGCCCCCGGTGAGGAGATGGACGGGGACAAGGGGACTACAACAGGGGGACCCTGGGGCCAACACCTCCTCAGCGACCCGCCCAACATGGCGCCA